CTTCCACTGCTTTACATTTGATCTACAGGTACCAATTTCGTAGCCCGCAACGATACGGTAATTAAATGGTTGCTTTTGTCCATGAGTTAAGCAAAGATGAGCAAGCAAAACAGCGGTGACTGTGGCTCATTAATTTCTGTTCTTGTCACTTAAAGCATGCGGAACACATACTACACACTTCTGTACCTTTCCCGTCCAGTGGAGATGCTTCTATTTAAAAGTGTGGGAGCATTCCATTTTTGCTATAAGTTTCCTTGTCGTCTGACATAAATCTTTATACAGAAGTTGGTTTAATCGCTGTTCATCGAACTCTACTGCACGGTTAAAATGAGGTGTGTTATTAAGGTCAAAAGTTACACTTTTAAACTTGGCATATCAATCACAATCAGTTCGTTTAGCTATGGCACCCACATCAGACACAGCACAAATGTCAAAAGCAGTTTTGCGGACTTAGAATGTTGAATAAAGGCAAAGTTGTCAAAAATGCTCATTTTTATCAACGTGAACTACCATGTTATCTGAAAACTAAATGGCAATTAGCATTAACTAACTAAAACAAAAAGCAAAATAGAACAAAGTATCCTCTTTCGAACGATTTACAATACTATGCCAAAAACACGTACTAGCATGCGCAATGCTTAAAATTAAAAAGACTGCTGGAACTTAGTTGCCAACACATTTGATTGATGAGGACAATTATGTGATCTATTTAAATATTACGTTTTCCATTGAGAGTCTCATCAATGAAAGCTTCAGTTTGCAGTCATGGGCTTCAGCATCGTCTAAAGTTTTGAAGTTTTCACCCGATGATCATCATAGGAGTTTTTCAAATGCACTCGATCAAAGGGTCGTTTTGGAAGATACAACAACACAAGACTACATTCGAACTCGCGTGGCTAACAGAACCGCTTCTACATTTTCTGTTGGTTGCAGTGTTATTAGTAGAAGCCGGGATTCCTCGCAGTCGATTAAATTTGTATGCCATACAATGTGCACCATAGCACGGAGTTAAAAGGTATGCCAAATGGTCCACATTTGGATTCATACTGGTTTAGATCGTCCAGCGACTTGTCTTTTATTGGGATCACGCTAATATCCGGAAATAATCGACTGCTGTGCTAATGTGGATATTAGCTGAATTCTGGTGGAGTGCTGACCATACTTGTCGCACTTCCGTCTCCCAGTATAATCGCGTCAGGCTAACCCTGGAGATTGTCCATCGTTTGTGAGCAGGGTTAACAAAAGCATAGCTAGCTACGCATTCGGCTGCCGCGGGTATATTCCAGTTCGCTGGCATGGCGCGCATCACGGATATCTCTTGGGCGGAATGGAAGTCGCCGGAGCCGGTTAAACTCGGTCAATCACTCGGTTTCTGGTTGGAGTGTTTTGAATAATCTTGACTTTAATACTGCTTTTACCACCAAGTTCAGCGGTGAAACGTTGATACTTGAGACCTACTGTAGTTGATTCCATGTTTGTTTTTACCTAGCCCGCTATCATTGCCGGGTTTAAGCTGTACGCTGCTTTAAGACAGCTGTGCACCTAAGGAGTGGATGGCCGCGCAGTCAGTGTAAAAGCAAAGAGAAGCTGCTTCATATTTTCATTCTCTTTAGTTCACTTATTGAATGGTAGGAATAGTTAGCGTGAAAGTGTCTGCAACATAGAGAACATTATATTTCATTACTAACCATTTTCCCACAGCGGCAAAAGCTGCTCGGGCGCGGCTCGCTGTGCCTTAGTACGCACGAGCCTTTCTCTGGGGCCATGTTCTTAACTCCATGTAAACTTCTTCTAGACGCAGAAACGAAGCGAAATAGTTGTCGACGCACGCTCATACACATGAGATCACGTGAAATTTCATTTAACCGAAAGCCACACTGACAAATTGCATGGCGAATTTCTGTTACACATAAAAGGACGGGAAATGCGTCATCCTTACCGACATTGGTTCCAATGTCATTGGCTTTATGTTAGTACGTTTGCAAACTAAGCATATTACTCGGAACAAACTTTACGCGTTTCGTGTAAGATCGCTACAAGCACTTGAAATACCAGAAAGCTGATACACTACTTTAGGTAGCAAATTCGTCGGCATATCCGAGGTAAATAAGATGTGTCGCTACAATATGCCAGAAATTAATTCTGAACTTCATGAAACAGATAAATTTCATTTGCATAAGTGTAAACCCATTCTTGTACAGCGAGATGGTGGAAAATAAATATGCTAAATGCATACGCGCCATCGAAGTGCAAAATCTAAGTAGGCTGTCGACATACTGTAAATTCAACGTGTTGTCGGTTCATGCTTCTTAAGTGTTGCAACTCCGGCCAGTAAAGCCACATTAGTTCAACAGGAAGTAGGGTTAATTGATTTGCCGGCTTCCGCTTTTGGTACAATTTCCTCCTCTCTGTACTACAGTCGACCACGATATTTTTAACTGGTAGCCAACTATTTGCTACAATGCGACAAGCAGTTTGTAACCGCTTCAAAGATGGTCCTGAATAGAATTTTTTCATCAGCGAGGCGGCGCCTGAAAGCGTTAAGTGACTTTCCTGTGCCAGAGAGTTCAGACGGACTGCCACTAACCCCAAGTCCTAAGGACTTTTCGCCGTAATGACGCAATTTGTATGAGTGATTGAATATGACCAACTGTTTGAACCAAGTTCGACGTGCTCTACACCTATCGGACTTGATATCCTGGATCGCGGCATAGTGGAAACGCTTCAAACAATCATCAACCTTGATGACACCCTGCATGCTAGGTCTGCTGGCCTCTGCTAGCTGCTCACAAATTGGTTATTGCCTAAGAGCTCATCCAGTAACTGAGCTCCAAAACTGCAGGTTTATTGATAACGACCGTAAATGTTACCTGCTACGGCTGATACCGAAGTGTTATGAATCATAAAAGTGTTTAACCACAGGCTACTTCTTTTGGCATCTACTTTGAATTAACAAAGCTAGTAAAGAGGACTTTACTACCGTTAGTACAGTTAACATAACTTTTAATATCCAGCCAGCAAGACTTCATGACAGGCGGTTCGTGCATCGCCAATCTACTACCAAACAGACATGAATAGTTGAAGGCAATAAACCTCAGCAAGTCTGTAGAAGGAATATTCATGGTTCTTAATATTGTTTTACAACCTAAACAATGAAGTCTTACTGCATAACCAGAAAGCGTCATTGTTGGTAACTCACTACATGATTGGATAGGAGAGTTTCTTGTTGGGCAACTAGTGAATTTACGGGTTGAAGTCCGCCTGACAAACTAGCACACATCAAAGAATGGAGTGCCATAAGTCCCGGTGGACCATCTATGCCACATTTGTCCTTATCAGCGATTTACGTCAACATCTCAGGTTGCGCTGTGCTATGCTTACTGAGAACCTGAGAATGTAAAAAGGTTGTTTTCACTTCCGAAAACGGCGGCCTATTCCCTTGCGACCTCAAGCTCCACTTTTCGTGCTTTGGAGGAGTTCGTCTTGGTTAACTCAGATACGTCAGTTTTTATAAGCTTGAAGGTGATTGACAGCTGAAGTCGTATTGGTAGAACTTCGTCACATCTAGGCTCACTCAGACAACCGCCACAATCCCGGAAAAGCACTGCCGTCCCCCGTAGCTCAGTGGTCTCAACTACGGAATGGCAACAGTCGAGTTGCGAGTTCGAGCCCTACCAAGGGTCCGATGGAATGCGCACTGCTGATGATTCCCGAAAGGATGAAACGCGCGTACAGTGCTTTTCCGGGATTTTGGCGGCTATCTGAGTGGGCCTAGATGTGACGAAGTTCTACCTATACCATTCAACTCCCCCTACTACTCTTCTGTAAAGTCGTATTGCTGACGGTCAGCATGTTGATCCAACGCCTTCCTTGGATTATCTAGGTTTGCCCTTATGTTGTGATTTCAAGTCAAAGGATGACACAGATGGGCTCTGTAGTAATTTGTTGATGGTGAGTTGGGTACTCAAACGCAACGTCCATGCTTGATATGAGGAGATCGTCACTCGTCTTTTCCCCAATATTATAAGATAAATGCTAGGGGGTGGAACCTCCGCATACCATAAGATCCTAGAATATTGAACGGGTTCAGCACGTCGCTGCTACGCTCATTCGCTGTTTAGGAAGACGAGTTCGCGAGACAAGGACTGCATAACCTGCTCTATTGACAGCAGCGAATGGAACACTTCATGACCTACCGTATTTTGTATCTCAGTGATTTACCCATGCTCAGGCTGCTGTTGCACCCTAGGACATTAGATAGCAGATCAAGACACTAGAACAGGCCAGTGGTGCCAGATTTTAATTGTGCCCCATCACCTTTCGCTTCAAATGGAGAGTGGTGGATGTTCGGAATAGTCTGCTGGCGCATATAATGACAGAAAGCTAAGTGAAGCAGTACCATACATTACTGAATTTAAATGTCTCCATTACTGAATCCAGGGTACAGTTGCCAAATAATATGACATCGCTTATTTGGGACTATTATTACGATAAGACGAGACCTTTTAAAACTATTAGAGTAATGGCGGGTGACCGATATGCTTTGAAGCTTTTTCTGTCATGTTTTACTAAGTTTATATGACATTTAATGTCTGTTTGCCTTTTACACGTTATTCACTTTAACATATTGTGTAACAGAATCAAACAGAAACTTTTATACTTCAGCTGAATCAATTTAAGGAATTAGTCTTTCTTATACGTAGTAAATCCAGATTTGGGTAAAGGGCTAATATCTTCAGTTGATTTTTCTTTCTTGTATCCCATTTCATCTTTGTACTAAATATTACGTACCTTTCCATTTCAGAAAGTCTCAAAATATCACTGATATCACTAATATTAAGTGCTTCAACTGAAATACACAGCGATGCGATTATGAGCAAAGTCTACTTAAATGTGATCTTGTCAGTCAACCTGAACTACAAAATCACACTGAACTCAAATCTAATCATTGTTATGAGTACATGACTTACTTTGTCACACTACTTGCATACATTGTTTAGATGTCCAGTGGGATACGTAATGGATCATAAAGGAATTTGTCATCTCGAACAATGTTTTCCGAACCCTTGCCTGCACGGTGAATGTGTCAGTTTTACTCAAACACAAAATTTCACATGCCAGTGTCTTCCCGGTTGGACTGGTGTGCACTGCGAAATCTCGGTATTGCCCATGTCGTCCGGGTTGGATTGGTGGTGGATCTTGTTGGTCGTTTTACTAATTCTTCTCATAAGTAAGTATATGTGTTGCAAAGTAGGTGTCACCTACGCCAAAGGTAAAAATCCTTATTCATAGATTTAAACGACGTTATGTATTTTTATGAAATTAAACACTAAAGAGGAGAGTTGACTTACTGGATATGGTTTATCCCAATCAAATAGCTCATTAGGCAGAGAAAGTCGTTGCCTGATTTTGGTAAGAAGGATAATCTCAGTATTAACGTAATGTGAATAGCACGCTTAAATATCTGTCCAATTATCATTAAATTTGACATTCGTTTAGAATTAAGTTTGCGGCAGTAGCTAATCCACACCGATAGGTTTCTTGAAATTCAAGTAGTGGATGTCTAACTCAGGGGACAAGTGCGCAAATATATTGAATTCAGCAGGTGATCCAGTAACTTTCCTGAAGTCTGGCCAAACGTACAAACTAAAGTAGGCTGAAGTGAAATAACATATTGGTTGAGATATGTAAGCAAAAAGAGCTGCAGTTCACCGTTGTATGAGACTCTTGCCGGGCGTTTAATTTTGCCTGCTTATTTTCATCGTTTTCGGTGCTCTTCCTACTTTTTTCTCACTTCCGTTATTCGTTGTGCACGTTGCCTCGACATTTGACTCAGCTGTCTTCCTAACCATCAAAACGGGTATTTTATGTATGTTGTTGTTTATCTAATGAAAGGTTATCACTGATTGTATGCTAACTTCAGATTGCAATGCGGAGGAATATATTGAACAAAAGTTTTCTCCCGGCAGCAATAAAAAGTTAAGATACACGCCTAAAACTAAGCAACAAAAACAAGCGATTTTTTCGGCAGACCCATCGGAGGTGATATGTTTCAGATGGTCGTTGAAGTAGCATTTCAGTTAGAAACATATCTAAGTAAAGTTGGAAAATGTTTGCGGATCAGAAGGGTGTAAAAGGAAAAAACGAGAAACACAAAATGTCACTCTAGTGAAATGTCTTGATTTCGGCTTCTTCTATGCAGTGTGGACTCTACATTACGCTTATCATGTGACATTTAGCCAACTGGGTATTCAGCTGCAATACCAAGCTCGCTGCGACATAGGAGTCCATTTTGTAGTTGCTTTTTGCTCCTTTATTTAACACAGACTTGAGTTCTATAATACCAGCAGCTCATAATGAGAAAACCTTTTTATGATAATTGGATAATTGAAAGACAAGCAGTTATCGATCGATTTGACTCGTACAAACTACAATTTGTAATTACATTTTACATTGCTATTCCACCATTTTTTTATTCATGTGCTTGAAAGTCGGGCTCTAAGTGTTGCACTTATGGTGGTTAATTCCATTGCCAGCGTAGCATGGCAGATTATTTTGTTTCACCCTCAAAAGTGAGACCTATCGTTACATGATTCGACCTGCATTAAGCCTGGTTCGTTTATATTGCATGTTGAACAGTCTATAAGGCCACTACTTGCGTACAGGTCATCTGTTTAGAATGTTAAATACTTACTTCGTAAGGTGTATTCCATTACATTTACTTAGGACTGAAAAATCGCCTTTCTAGTAAATATTATTTATGCGAACATGTCGTTCAAGCAGCGATGTCAATTAATAAGTCTTACAATATGGAGCTGCCAAATGATGTTATGTTTCCTTAACAATGCCAAATTTGTACTCAATGCTGCGCCTGTCAACACCCGGTACACTAAACCTAAGTGGTCTTCGTCTGTAAAGTGTATCCTGCGAAAGCTATGTTCTTGTGTAGCGGAAATATACTTATTTCAACTAGTAAAGTAGAATGGCCTAAGTAGCTTCAGAATGAACAAAACAACATTGCTTGAATTAGTTTAACGGTATTCATGGATGGTATCCTATCGGTTATCATCTCTTATCCACGTAAGAAAGATCTAAGGAATTTTTTGATGGAAAAATTAGCAGGAATTACAAAAAGTAACTTTTAACTAAAGTCTGCGCAAGAAGCCGCTAAAAATGAAACAGGGATCGTAATTGTTACGGACGGTTACATCATCTCAGTCCTATAATATAAGGATTGTTTAAGGATACAGACTAACATGAAAATCGAAAATTTTGACCATTTTGCGTTTCCATAGATAATACACAATTATTCATGGTAGAAAACCTCCGTGCAAACGGGGTTAAAAAAGAATGAGTTTTAAAGCACCATTTCTGCATTCGGTGAAGCATGTGAAACTTTTCAATGTTTTAAAGCTCATTATGGATGTAAAATCTTTGAAATGCTTATCTGGGCTCGTACTTGATGTAGAGGCTGCATTCAAGTTGTAAATTAGTCTATGATTAGTCCATAAACCTAGTTTTCATGGTACACATTATGAAAAAAGATTTAATTGTTCCGTTTACAGAGGATCCGTTTCTTTCAGCCAATCAGTGCGCTCATATCATATCAACATAGCTGTCGCTAAGTAGCAGCGTCGGCCATTTTCTGTTGTTATGAGGACAAAGCCATTTGACGACTGTGACAAAAGATGCTCTAATTATGAGAAACAGAATAGTCGACAGAAGTGACAGACAAGGAAAACCTATATTTCATGGAAAGTAGCTGGAATGGATGAAATTTGTAGTTTTGAAGCAAAAAAGGAACCGTCTACGTATGCTTCTAGAATCAAACTGGGCCCTCAAACCTCACAGGTAGAGTTTGATAAAACTGAGGAGCTCACGGCTTTCGTTTTTTCGACCAGCTTCTCATTAACTTTGTAAGCACTTTATTGTGCAGTCAATGTAGTCAACGTCTGGGCGAGGACCTGTCCTATGTAACAGAAGCGAGTAGCTCACTTGCCTCAAAGTTCAATTTCCGCCGTCACTGTCAACAGATCCTTTCTGTTATGTACTCTACAAAAGGTGGGAACACCCACGAAGTTAACAGAAGGTATCCAGCTGCTGTCTTTGCTATAGGAAAAAACACTATGCGCAGCAAGAAATTTCTTGGTAATATGAACAGGCCAATTAGCATGCGTAAAAGCAGTTGGTCTCTTAATAAAAAGAACATTATTCAGGCTACAGAGACAACTGCACATACAATTATGCGAAGAGTTTCATCTGAGATGAAGGAAATAAAATGAGAAGCCATACCAATCTCCTGTGATGGCACATGACAGGACGAGGGTTCCAGAGCAAAAATGGTGTGGTCACTAGTCTAACTGTGGAAGGAAAAACCCAAAAGTTATAGACATTGCAGTTCTAAGTAATCATTGCAACCCTTGTGCAAAACACTAGAAGATGCAAACTAAAGCCGAATTCGAGGCATAGAAGCTTTCTCAAGTTAAGGACTGTGATAAGAATCACAATGGATCCGCAGGCAGCATGGAGCAAGCTGCAGCACTATAAGTGTTTATTTGGAGGGAAGAGTTGTATGGTCTTAGCTATGTTTCCTTTCTTGGAGGTGGAGATAGTAAATCATTCACATCAGTTGCAGATGCGGAACCACCAGTGTATTGATATTGTGAAACTGGAATGTTGTTGTCATATGCAGAAGAGTATGGAGCGACACCTTAAAATAAGCTAAATGAGTTGAAGAAGGATTCCTTTACGCACATTGACACGAGTGTTCAAGTTATTAGTGGGATAGGCTGTCTGACAAAAAGGCAATCCTAAGGATTCAAGGACATTATGGTGCTATAATACGAAGAAACACCAAAAAATTTCTTAAATGCAAAGATAAATCTTGGCCATATGTGAGCACAGGAACCGTTACCATATCAACCGTGGAGTTTGGTGCCCCTCCAAGAATCAGCCTGTTTGATAAAAGATGCTTTTCCGCCCTGTCTGTGAGGCTATAATACCTGTATTTGAAACTCTCAACGGTGAGATATTACTGCTAAAGTGTGTTAATGGAGGGACACAAAATACAAATGAGAGTTTTCATAACTCCATTTGGCAATCAGTCCAAAGACTGATTTTGTTGGAAGGCGTAGACTAACTCTGGCACTTTCTAATGCTGCAGCAGTTTTCAGTGATAGAAAGGGGTAGGCTACCTATATATGAAATGCTGGATATTCTTGTTGGATTCTATACTAGACTGTGTTTCAATGAGCTGAAAAGAATAAGAATAAACTCAGCAGCTAAAGAATTATCACCAAGTGAACGGCAGACATGGAGGATAACAGCTGTCATGGATAAGAAAGACAGTAATGATTTTACCTTACTGGTGCCCATGAATAGTCCAGGTTAGTGCTACTTTCAAAGTCATATCCTGGGATATGAAAAACTTGTGTAAACAGTTTATGTGTTAGTGATGAGAGCTTAAATCACATTTAAAAATGGTTAAAATTTTAAATCCTATTTTCTCAACATAACCTTTTCGCAGCTATGCGTTACCGTCGTCAGGGTACTTTCAACACCATTAAGTCAAAGTAAATACAAACTGGAAGTTATGCTGTTCATTATTATCCGCTTGAAACATACGAAGTTCAAGGGTCGCACACTTGCGTCCTACATTCCAGTCGCATTCAAATTTTCTGCAAATTTTGGACTTGTAAGAAAATCTAACACGCATACAGACTTGAGGCTGATGTAGATTACCGCCTAACCTTGTCTAAGCAGCTATGCAAAATGTTAGCTTTATACATAGTACAGCATTTTAGCTGGAGTGAAAACGCTACTGCCAAAACTCTACTCATCATCAAAATAAGTTCCTTAAGCAAATGGAAATAAGTAAGAAATTTATAAAGGTAGCTTTAGTTCTCTGTTAGCTAATGTTTGTACGATATATAATGTATATACAACATTTCATAAAGATCTGGTCATATGGTGATATCTTTAAGCATTAGCAAATAACTTGCATAATTTATGATTTGCTAGCTTGTTCCTTTCCCTTAAGGAATTCTATAGCAAGTAATAAGTGTAGCAACTAGTCTTTCTCGGTATACTCAAAATTTTATTTTACATAGTTAATTGATTTTTTATGCGCCTAAATGGTGTAAGGATAGAATGAACTTGTTCATGCACGTGAAACTGCATTCATAAACGGAAACAGTTTTCCAAACTGCAGGCCAAAATTCACTGATTGGA